CACACACACACACACACACACACACACACACACACACACACACACACACATTGTCAGAGCTTATCAGCATATGTGAGTGTTTGTTTATGCACAAGCAACCAATCGCCCTAAAGACTGATTGATGGAGCCACGTGTGATGTGGGAGGAAAGAGAAATAAATAAAAATGCTCAGTCAGTTGGCGGCTTTACTGCGTCACCTTACGGGAGAAATTGAGAGAGAAAGAGAGATGAAAAGAAATAGAGAGAAAGAAAGAAAATATGTGAAAGCCTTAAACACAAACTAACATTTGATATAATATCATTATTACATTATTATTTGTGAACAATCATCTGAAAGTAAGAATGAATGTGTGCCAGAGTTTTTTTGTGGAACTTTACAATGTCACAGCAAATTTGACCTTTGGCTTTTGGGTATACAATTATAATTTTAGCCTTTGAGGTATTGTATAAAACCAATAACACAAAATTTAAAAAAAATTAAAAATTGAGGTCAGTGACTTTTGAGCAGCAAATTCGTATCAGGTCATCCTTGAGTTAAATGGATGTTTGTGCCAGATATGGTGAAATACCCTCCAGACCTTCCTGATAAATCACTTTCACAAAATGTGGGGTCATCCATCACCAAAATCTGATCCGGTTATCTTGATCCAAATTTGAAGAAAGTCTCTCAATGCTCTCCTGAGATTTTGTGTTCACAATAAGACAATAAGACAATAAGACAGATGCACGGACAACAGTGGGGGCAGCAGTAGCTCAGTCCATAAGGATTTGGCTTGGGAACCGGAGGGTGGCCGGTTCAAGTCCAGCATGGACCATAACCATGGAAGGTGGACTGGTAGCTGGAGAGGTGCCAGTTCACCTCCTGGGCACTGCTGAGGTGCCCTTGAGCAAGGCACCGTACCCCCCAATTGCTCATAGGGCGCTTTTCCTGGGGGCTGCCCATCACTCTACCATCTCTCTCCAAAATATGCATGTCTTTGAGCCCTGTGTGTGTGGGGGATTGTGGGTTAATGCATGTATTAAAATGAAAAACATGAGTGTAAAAAGAATTTCCCCTTGTGGGATCAATAAAGGAAGTTTAAGTTAACCTGGAAACAAAATGCCTCCAGCTACAGTGGTAGCAGACGCAGAGGCATAAATATAAATCGCCTTTGGGGACTTTAGGGGCTCCGTAGCTCAGACATGAATTCACCTTTACAAAGGTGGTGATGTTCAGGTTTGACACTGACATAGAGGAGGTGAGTTAGTGCTGGTGTATCTGACTGCGTTATATCCATCATTCTCTGGTTAGCAAAACATGACTGTATAACACATTAGATTTTATTCACATATAATTATAATAGCTATTATAATTTAAGTGGTAAGTGAGATGAGACTCCCATTAAAAGTTATTTCATTGATGTCCATGTTAATGAATTCTCCTGATGTTTCTCCTGATGCCAGAAAGTGGTTGACAGATAGCAAGAACTTCAGTGAGTGTACATGCACACCTTGACATATTTCTGACAGTCCTCCAACTGAAACAATAAAGTATATGTATAAACACTGCAATAAAGACGTTTGCTTTAAATCAATAATTTAGTGCAACAGCTCAAGTACCTATCAAAGTCACTGACGCAGTTATGTGAAATAAATTCTGCTTGGTAACGTTCTTGATCACAACACTATAATCTGTTGACAATCGTGAGCCTTTGTCACAGCTAAAAATATATGAACTCCGGCAGCCTCCAGACAAATCAATCAACCTTAGCCTCAGACTGCCAAGATGAAAAACTATCATCCTAAAAATGCTCCAATCTCTTCTATAACTTCTAGTCTGCTCATTCTGAGTTCTTCATTTCAAGTGCTTTTTATTCCAGTGAAAAGATAATTAAATGTACAATTATTGTGTAGGGCTGTATCCAACTTTTAATAACATTAAGTCTTCTACATGTTTTCCTGCAGCTGACGATACCTAAAGGACCAGCTGATTAAAAGTCACATTATAAGTCATCAATCATGGAGATGCTAGTTTTGTTGTGAAGACTTTTTAGCCTCATTTAGATAATTATTTTCACACAGTAACACAAATATAACACAAGGTCCAGTTGTATTCCTTCACTTTTGCAACATTAACAGCACCAACATTAACAGCCATCTTTTTTTTTCTATACTTTCCAATGAGAAGCTGTCAGGTGACGTATGAAACTGTCGCACGACAAGCAATTGTGATTGTTTTTAAGTATTTGTTGCTGTTGTTTTTGACAGCTTATTTCTTTGGCAAATAACCTTGTTTACAAAAACATCTGTCATCACTTTCATAGCACCCTCAACCCACAGATAGCAGAGCCGGACAGGTGATAATTATACTTTACATATGCAAAATATGGAACATTGTCTCATGTTGGTAACGAAACAATGAAACACAACAATGGAACACTGAAGCTATTTTTAAACACCCAAGGATACTGAGGTATTTATCACTGCCATGCCTATTATGTCTTATTAGAGGCTGCTGTGTATATTAATTAAAACAAAATAGAGAAACCAGACAAAGAAGACAAGAGAGGAGAGAAAAGAGGAAGACTGAGAAAAATGAAAGTGATCAAACAAACAGATGCCAAATGAGACTCAAGTCAGTGGGTTGGACTGACATCTCCCTAACTACTGCCACTAACACTGGCACATTATCCTGCTGAGGGCTCGCACAATGTCTGCACTGCATCAATTTGATAGAACAGGTGACAAATTAAAAATGTGATGAGTTTTCTAACTATGAAAAATGCTGCCATATTGAGCGTTTTTGCAGATGATGCTATACAAGAGTTTCCAAAAGGGAGGAAA